GAATGGACCCCATATGTCACAGTGAATCAATTCAAAAACATGAGATGCAGATGTAGTGCTTATGGAAAATGGCAGTTTCTTTTGCTTGGAAAAATGACAAACATCACAAGGTTTAGATGCAAGATCTTTACAATTGTTTTTTGAAAGCTGTAAACAAGGCAGCTTGTGATAAAAAAGATGACCAAGTCTATTATGCCATAGTTCAGAGATAGAAACATCAGTAGAAGTGCTTTTGTTATCAGAAGAAACAAAAGAAGAACTATGTAAATTCAGAAAATATAAGCCATTTCTAGCCTCAGCAGAACCAATCATCTTTTTGGATGTTATTTCCTGCAATGTGCAGTGAGAGGAGAAAAAATTGACCATGCAGTTGTTAGTAGAAGTTAGTTTAGAAATAGAAATAAGATTGAAGTTAAGAGATGGAACAAATAAGGCATTGTGCAACACAAGATTAGGTCCCAGATTTATCTGTCCCATATGGCATGCACAAGCTTTTTGTCCATTTGGAAGATTAATGGGAACATAAATAGGAGTGGGTGCAGATGTAAACAATGAGATGTCACATATCATATGATCAAATGCACCAGTATCAAGAATCCAAATGGATTTGTTAGTAGTGTTAGTATAACAAAATTAGCTATAATACTTGAGTGATCAATGTTCACCTGAGCAGTAGCAACCATGGGAGCAGAGTTAGAAAGTACAGCTCCCTGTTTGCCATCATAAGATTTTTTGAATTCAAGGAACTCATGAAACAAATTGTCAGTGGTAGAAATATCAGAAGGAATGGGATTACTGGCAACAGAATTAGCAGAAACATGATCAGGATGTTTTCTAGGGCCCTTAGGACCTTTCAAATGAGCAGGATAGCCAATGAGTTGATAGCAATTTTCAACAGGGTGATTGTAGCCACAGTGTGAGCATTTGTGTTTTGGTTTGTCTTTGGTAAATTGAGGTTTCTGGTATTTGTTTTGAAATTGTGGTGCCTTGGCAAGCATAGCAACATAGTCAATGGTTTTACTGGAAATGTATAAGGATCTTTGGCTTTCTTCTTGAAGAAGGAGTGAATACACTTTGGATAAGGATGGTAATGGAGAGGACAACAGAAAATGACTCCTTAAAGATGAATATGTATCATTCAGGCCAATGAGAAATTTCATAACTGAGTCATCTTGTTGTGCAGTGACCATAATATCAAGGATGTTGCAAATACAAGTATTGAGAGCACCACAGGAACATCGAAAAACAGGTCTATAGGTCACATACTCATCCCAGAGAGATTTGAAAGAGTTATAGTATTGAGTAATAGACATAGAACCCTGATCCATAGAACTCAATGATTTTTCAAGTTGAAATATCCTAGGACCACTAGATAATGCATACCCAGATTTTATTTCATCCCAAACGTCTTTAGCAACAGAGAAAAACAACAAAGACTGTCGAATTTCTTTAGCAACAGAGTTCAAAAGCCAAGATAACACCAAGTTATTTGCACGTACCCAAGCAAGAGATTCAGATGGATTATCAGAGGGATTAGGAACAGAGATTGTACCATCAACAAAACCGAGTTTGTTTTTAACACTGAGGGCCATAGAGACCGATCGAGACCATGAGACATAGTTATCACCTGTGAACGGTTCTGCAATGATGAGCGCAACCGATTATCGCTCGCTTGGAGGAAATACAGTGAGGTTGGATCATCGGTTGGATTCGACATGGTGATTTGATGAATATCGGTTGAATAAACGATGGATCTGATGTAGGGTGACTATATCAGCAGCAAATCGTCAGAATGTGGTGCAGATCGTCGGAATGTGGTGCAAATCAGCGGAAAATCGTCGGAATGTGGTGCAAATCGTCGGAACAGCAACGGATCTGACGAAGCGGATAATAGATCGGGACAGAGAAATCGCGTTGAGAGCACGAACAAGTGGTAATCGATGATAATAGTCGAAAATCAGTGGCGAACAATGAGATCTCCAATATCACAGAGTGAATCGATAAAAGACCAGACGCCGAAAAAATATAGAATCACAAATGAATCGAAAAGAAATCGATAGATTTGGATCGAAAAATGTAAGATGCAGCGGAAATCAGTATAAGGATCGAAAAATTTGAGCGATTGATACCATGTAAAGTTCTAAATGAACACGGAAAGAACAAAGAACTAAGAACAAAAATGCTTCTTCTTATCTGAGAGTTGCAGCGAGAAAAAAAGTGAGTGTACAATTAGGGTTGTGAACCCTTTTATATGAGCAGACTAATCCTAATATAATAAGGTAAAATAATGGTGCAAACAGTAATACATAAGGTACAAGTAAACCTATATACATTTATCTAAAAGCATACAAATAAACCTATATACATATATTCTAATAAATAGTTTATGAAATAAAAATAACATAGAAGCTTTCATACTTTTTCATGTTAAACTTTCTTATGTAAAGATAATGAAAAAAAAATTCATATTAAAAAATAATAATAATAATAATAATAATAAATGTATATAGATTTTCTTTATCTAAAACTGAAGGTAGATTTTTAAAAAACTATTAATTGCTATGCGGTCGTTGTTGCAATGAAAAAGGCTGGGTTGTTCGGTTGCCTCATATTTATCTGGAAGGTAACTTTTAGGCCAATAAGTTAGCCTCACTAGCTGCTAAAGTCCCTGTTGGTTATCATCGTATGTTGGACCCGCCGTATGAAGTTGGCCATTTGTTAGAACGTGATATCGTAGGCGTGGCTTACCCACGTCAGGTGGCGCTTTAGGACCCTTTAGGCATCGTCCTCTATTTTTCTACAAAAAATATAAAAATAAAAAAATAAAAAAATGAAAGGACTCTAAGAACAAATATCCATGTGACCTTAAATCATAAATCATATTTGGTGAAAGATAATTCACAATACAAACATAGCCGAAATATTAATGCAAGAACAACAACATTTAGGGACGTGGACAAACACAATGGTATATGAATATTCGTGAATTAAAGTTGGGGAATTATTTTTTATCCCTATATACTTTAATATACGTGTCAATTGTTCCCACCCATAAAAAAAATAGATAAGCCAAAAGAATATAACTAAATTTTCAATTAAGAGATACAGACGATAGTCTAGTTTTGCATTCTTTGAGATATGAAGTGGAACTTCATCTATTGATGGAATTTTTCAATACTCTAAAAACTTTTGTACATGTGTTTACATCTAAGATATTAATGAGTTTGTTAACCACACGTTCAAGTAGTGAGGAGTTTTAAAATATGCTCATTATATTATTGACCCCTCGTTCTGTTTCCACTAAATACAACTGAAAATATCCATGTCTATCTTCTTTAAGTAATATGCTAGGAAGGTCACAATACACTACCCCCTGAGCTCGAAAAGTAATCTTTTGTCTTGCAGATGCAAGTTCTTTATCTGGTTTGACCTTTAATAAATGTTTATCTGAAATGTTTTGCCTTTTCTGTTTGCAAGCGAACAATTCATATAATTCTTCGAGGATTTCAATAGGATCAAGTTTGATTTTTATATTACCACAACAAAATGTTGGATATCGTACTGAAATTTCATAACACCGCAATGTAAGCAATCCCACCAGGATTATACACAACTCCCACCTAGGAGAAAACAAAACCCAGAACACTGGACAAAATACAAAACACACCAAACACACCTAAAACACAAAAAACACACAAAACAACAAAAAACTAAAACATCATCAACAACAACTCTTCCGTAATGGGAAGTCTAACCAATTGAAATAGCAGCGACAACAAACGACATCCATCCACACGAACGAGGTTGGACCTTCGGAATCCGACCTAGAAACTACCAGAAAATGTCACACTAGTTCGACACCAATGGATACATCCCCAATCCAAACAAATATCCCTCCATTCCCGGTCCCCCCACACCCATATGCTCGACGCCAAGAACCAGGCCGACAACAGAACACCGGCCAAGGTCCACATTGTCGACCAACCCCTCCGCCTAACACTTGAACCGAAGACGACCACTACTGAAATGGGGAAAACCTACCACTCCAAAAGCCCCAAATCAGAGAAATTAAAGTCGCAATCCGCTCATCAAGAAATGCCAGAGGATGGCCAAAGCGAAAAGTCCCAAGAACCGATCATCCGCCTCACCTTCCAAGCGCCAGAGTCTTGGCGAAACCGAGACCGGGACGAGCTGCACCTCCTCCCAGGCAAAGAAGCCCACCTCCAGGCGACGATTCTTCAGTAGAATGGGCCGCGAGGCCCAGGGGCGTCACCATCGGACGATCGGAAAGTCCCGCTGGGGAAGGCGCCTAGATCGAGAGCTGAGATCTTTGAAATGGAAGAAAAGGGATTCGACATAGAGAAAAGAAAAGTTTTTTAAATGAGATAATTTTTATTTTACGTATTACATAGAACTTTTCATTTATAAATGTATATGAATTTGATTTATAAATTTATCGAAAATTTGAGTGTAAGAAACTACCTTGGAGAATAAGAATTGGTTATCTACGTGTTCTTTATGGTCACATTTGACTCTCAAGTGACTGAAAAAATCAACCTAAACTAGGGTCAAAATTGAAGATAATCCTAAGTGGCACCCTTCAAATTATATAATCAACAACCTTTTTCAACTGCAAACTTGTGTCCGTACAATCCCGGTTCAGTTTGTTAGGTATGACAAAAAAAAAAAAAAA